GGCCAGCATTGTTGCCCATTCTAATTACCACTTGAACTTTGTCAGGGCCATTTCAGAGTCAACCATGTTGCTGTGGGACTGGAGTTACATGTAGGCCAGAGCAGATAAGGATGTCAGATTTCCTTTCCTAAAGATGGGGTTTTATGGCACTCAGCCATAGTCACATGGTTGCCATTAGGCCAGCCTTTCTTTAATTTCACTGATTTCATATTTCGCCATCTGCCATGGTAGGATTTGAACCTATGCCATAGAATTACAGAGTCAAGGAGTCAAACAGCACAAAAACAAACCCTATGGTCCAACTCATGCATGCTGACCAAGCCTCCCAAACTAAACTAGTCCCACTTGTCTACATTTGGCCCATATTCCTATAAACCTCTCTTATTCATGTACCTATCCAAATGTCTTTTAAATGTTGTTACTGTACTCACATCTACCACTTCCTCTGGCAGTTTATTCCACATACAAACCACTCTCTGTGTAGAAAGTTGCCCCTCAGATCCCTTTTAAATCTTTCTCCTCTCGCCTTTAAGATATGGACCTATTTTTGAACTCCCTTACCTTAGGAAAAAGACCTTTACTATTCACCTTATCTATGCCCCTCGTTATTTTATAAACCTCAATAAAGTCACCCCTCAACCTCCTAAGCTCCAGTGAAAAAAGTCCCAAGCTATCCATCCTCTCCTTATAACTCAAACCCACCAGCCCCAGCTACATTCTGGTAAATCTTTTCTGAATCCTCTCCAATTTAATAATATCCGTCCTATAGCAGGGCAACCAGAACTGTACACAGTATTCTAAAAGAGGCCTCATCAACGTACTGCACAACTTCAACATGAAGTCCCAGCTCCTATACTCAAAAGGTTTGAGCAATAAAGACAAGCATGCTAAACACCTTCTTAACCACCCTGTCTACCTGTGACACAAATTTCAAATAATTATGTACCTGAACCCCTAGGTCTCTCTGCTCGACCACACTACCCAGGGCCCTACCATGAACTGTATAAGCCCTGCTCTTGTTCACTTTACCAAAATGCAATACCTCACATTCAACCAATTTAAACTTCATCTGCCACTCCTCAGCCCATTGGCCCAATTGTAATCTTAGATAACCAGCTTCACTGTCAACTATACCACCAATTTTTTTGCCATCTGCAGACGTACTAACCGCCCCTCCTAAATTTTCATCCAAAGCATTTATATAAATGACAAACAACAGTGGATCCAGCACCGAGCCCTGTGGAACGCTGCTGATCACAGGCCTCCAGTCCGAAAAACAACCCTCCACCACCACCCTCTATCTCCTACTGTTAAGCCAATTTTGTATCCAATTGGCAAGCTCACCCTGAATCCCATGTGAACTAACTTTACTAAACAGTCTATCATGCGGAACCTTGTCAAAGGCTTTACTAAAATCTATTTACACAACGTCTACTACTCTGCCCCCTACAATCATTTTGGTTAAATCCTCAAAAAACTCAATCAAGTTTGTGAGACACGATTTCCCACACACAAAGCCATGCTGACTATTCCTAATCAGTCCTTGCCTCTCCAAATGCATATAACTCCTATCTGTCAGAATCCCCTCCAACAACTTACCTACCACTGATTTCAGACTCAATGGTCTACAGTTCCCTCCCAGACTTCTCCTTATAGCCTTTCTTAAATAAAGGCACAACCTTAGCTACCCTCCAATCCCCCACCACTTCATCCTTGGTTATAGATAATACAACAGAGCATTAGCCTTAGTCTCTGGATTAAAAGTCCAGTGAGAATAGCACTATGGTACTACCTCCCAATGGTCAATGACCACATGTTGAGTATACCATTCATCTGCTGTCCATTTGCTTGTGTTCCTGGTTCAAAGAAAAATGCAGGAAGGCATGCCAAGAGCAGTACCAGGCATACCTAAAAAATAACTGGTGAAGCTGCAATACAGGATTACTTGCACAGCAGAAGCAGCGAGTGGGATAGACAGAGCTAAATGATGCTACAACCAATGGATCAGATCTAAGCTCTGCCACATCTGGTCATGATTGGTGGTGATCAATAAAATAATATTCTGGATGAGAAAGCTGCATAAATTTCCCAACGCTGGAAGAGCCAAGCACATCAGTGCAAAAGATAAGGCTGAAGCATTTGCAGCAATGTGGCAAGTGGATGATCCATCTTGGCCTCCTCCAGTGGTCCCCAGCATCACAGATACTAGTTTTCAGGCAATTTGGTTCACTCCAATTGAATGTTTGGAAGTACTGGATACTGTAAAGGCTATGATAACATTCTGGCGATAGTATTAAAGACTTATGCATCAGAACATGCTGCTCCCATGGTCAAGTTCTCCTAGTACAGTTACAACACTGGCATCTACCTGACAATGTGGAACATTACCCAGGTATATCCTGTAAACAGAAAGCAGGAGAAATCCAACCTGGCCAGTTATGATACCACAAATATTTTCCGAACACTGTGCAGACCCGCATCGCAGCTGAAATGGAAGCATCCCAGCTTTTGCAGCCTTAATGAACTTCCCTGAAAAGTTTCCCCTGTTAACCCAAAACTGCTCACACCATTAATTTGCCCAACACTTACCCACTTTTAATTACTGTGTTTATGAGGCCCGTGACTCACTGATTCCAGATTGCAAGTTTCCGTCTTTGCCCCAGTTACCTCTGTGGTTTGCTAATCGTGTCCTGTAGTATCTGTGTGTTATGGCACCCAATCTGAGCTGCAAGTTATTTTTTTAAAAAATTACTGCACTGATTAAAGCTTTCCCCTCGTCGCAAAGACTTTAAAAGTATAAAATCTCCAGTCTCTGCTTGCTCAGTGGCTGGGCTCAGACTCGGGTTCACTGTGCCTGCACTTCTGCCTCAGAGCTGCTCTGAAAGTGGGTCTGGAAGGTGTTCCATCGTTCTTTGAAGTAGTCTTCAATGTTGGGTTTTGTTCTCTGGGGTTCATTAGACCCTCAGATCTCTACCAATGATTTTCACACAATGAGCATGAGCAGTTTACCACTGTTGATCACCAGTGTATGTGTTGGTGTATGTCTCTCCGGGCCCACATGGCGTCCTGTGGATGACAATAGTTAACTTCTCACCTTAACTAGAAAAGTGGAGAAGATACAGCTTATTCCATCTCTGCTAATATCTACATGCTCCAATGACATGAGACACATTATTACAGGCACTGATAGGAGGTGAGCTCTAAGGCCTTCAGGATCCTTAGTTAGTCTTTCCTTTGATTCTCATGGCAACATCATTGTGGGTGGCACTCAGACAATCTGTACACTTTCAATCAAACAATATAAACACTTTCACATCCATAGACAACAACTGATGTGAGGCTAATGTGGGCTCTTTAGCTCAAGCTGTAAAAATCTCCATAAATTCATTGTTAGGCCGATGGGATTGCCTGTGAACTTAAGAGACCTTTGAAGCTGCTCCACCATTTATTTAAACTGTGGTTGAACTGTGCCTGAATTCCATGAAATTGCCTTTTGTGAACTAACAAGAATCTTTCAATCTTGGTCTCGAAAGCTCCAATTGTCTCTGCATCCATAGTCTTTTTCTTTTGTTAATTCATCCACGGGATGGGCACATCACAGGCAAGGCCAGCATTTATTGCCGATCGCTAACCACCATTTCACAGGGTGGTTAAGAGTCAACCACATTGCCTGGCATCTGGGCCTGAAGTTACAGGTAGTCCAGACCAGACGATGAAGGCAAGTGATCCTACCTTAAAGGGCAGCAGAGAACCAGATGGTCTTTTACACCAACTGATGATCGCTGCTATGATCATGATCACTGAGACTAGCCGGATACGATTTCAAATTCCCGTAGCCATGGTGCTGGGATTTGAACCCATACGTTCAGAACATTAGCCTATGCTGCTGGATTGTTCATCTGGCAACATCACCACTATGCCAGGCCTAAAGAAAATTCCAGAGTACTATTACTGTTTGCCTCTCCTGAATGACCTCATTCTAATTTGAAAATTTGTTCTAGATTGTTCCACCAGAAGAAGTAATTTCTTTGCATTTATCCAATGAAATCCTTTTAACAGTAAACACTGTAATCAGATCATCTCTCAATCTTCTTTTCTAAGTAATGCAATCCAGGTTTATGTAATCTGTTTTTTCCTAATTTTGTAAGGTCAAGGAAATTATATCTTCACTGTAAATATAGCATGTGTGAATGGTGCTGTATTGTCATGACCTCAGGTCACATGGAACTGGCACCTGATTCAAAAAGGCTCCCAGCAAGATGTCTTCTCATACCATCCTCTGAGGAGAATCATGTTCATTAAAGACCATTGCTGTTCAATGACAACAGTGACACTACAATAAATCTAACCTGCTATCATTCTGGTGAATTTACATTGCACCTATTTCCAGGCGAAGATGAACCTTTTGAGGTGTGGTGCCAAACTCAGAATTCAGGATGAAGGTCCTGTACAAGCGAAGCATAATGTCCTTCTCTTTGTAATCTAAGCCCTTGAGATGATGTTCATCCTTAGCAAGAGGAAGCAAAGTCAATGAGAATATATAGGAGCAAATTACTGCAGATGCTGGAATCTGTACTCAATACGAAAAGTGCTGGAAATTACAATGGGTCAGCTCTGATGAAGAGTCATCTAGACTCGAAACATTAGCTTCCTCTCTCTCTACGGATGCTGCCTGACCCATTGTGATTTCCGGCATTTTTTTGTTTTCAATGAGAATATATTAATATACAATACAAACTATGTGAATTTGTGGGCACAGCAAACACAGTTTATTAGTGAACATTCTAAAGACTATATAAACTTTTGGCATGTACTCTGTCATTGATTGAACATGCTCAGTTATTATTTGGAATATTCTGGAATTTGCTGCAATGCCAGCCATGTATGTTGGCATATTCACAAAATATGTGAGTCCTATTTCCAATAATATGTGATGACTGTTTTAGCATTTAGCATTGTGTTGGTTTATCCTTCCTTTGTGGTCATTGTCTATTTTTCAGTTGAAGTCAAGGTTGAAGTGATGGCCCCTGACAAGGAGAAGGAGAAAGAGAAGGAAAGCCTTTCACCCAATGGCAAAGTCAGCCCCATGCCTACGTGCAAGGCCAACGGGAGCACAAAACACATAGATGAGCGGCCCGTCACTGTTGACCTCTATCAGAATCCAAAGGACATGGTGGAGGTAGCAGTATGCCACGTCAATGAGCTCCAGGATGGACAGTAAGTATCAGGGCATGAGCAGCCTCTGAGATTCCTGTGCGACAGGACTAACACTGTACCAGGGAAACCATCTTAAATTAGTTAATCTAAAGAATGAGATCGCAGTTGGAGACCTTGTTCCAGACAACACTTATCAAGATATTAGTGCAGCAAAGACATAGAAATATAGAAAAAAGGAGCAGCAGGAGGTCATTCCATCCCTTAAGCCTGTCCTGCTATTCAATATGATCATGCCTGATAACCAACTCAATCCCCTCTTCCTGCTTTCTCCACATAACTTTTGATCCCTTTAACCCTAAGAATTATATCTCACTCTTTATTGAAAATGTTTAATGTTTTGGCTTCAACTGTGGCAGAGAATTCCACAGGCTCACCACCCTCTGGGTGAAGAAGTTTCTCATCTCAGTCCAAAATGGCCTATCCCATATCCTTTGGCTGTGACTCCTGGTCCTGGACTCCCCAGCAATCAGGAACATCCTTCCTGCCTTTACCATGTCTGGTCCTGTTAGATTTTTATCGGTTTCTATGAGATAATCCCATCATTTGTTTACTTACTGTTTACTTAGTTAATGAAATTAATAAATTAATTAATCAATTACTTTATGTAAACCACTGCTCAAGATCAGAGAGTAGGCAGGAGGTTTCCTTCATTCAATCATTGTGTTGTTTTCCAATAGACGACCTCAATCAGAAATTCAGGGCTCAATCTGTTTGTTGAGATGTTTTGAAACTGAGCTGAATTCTTTGATAGTCAATAACCCAAAGTATGGGATAGTCTGTTGAATGACTGGCATCTGCGTCAGATAAATAGTCAGAAGCAAATGCAACTTGTACACAACAGTGCTTCCTCCTCACACTGTCCAGCTAATTCAACCTGCCCTGGGAATACAGTGAAATTGACTGGACTCTGAAGAGTCAATCAGCAAAATGGCATAAGTGACCCAGCAGTGCCACCAACAGGAATGTAGCTATATTGCAGCTCTTTTCACAACTTCAAAATGTAAGTGAATCTCTGTCACAATGCCCAAGCGGAGGAGGGCAGTGGAGATGGTTGCTCCTATACAATCGGGTACACACAAGGCGCCAGGAATGGAAGAATATAGCAGTCGCAGAGGCTTTTAGGGCTGGGGGAGGTTGCAGAAATGGGGAAATGGCCAAGCCTATTTGAACGCGAGAATGAGATCATGAAGACGAGCCATTTGCACATTACAAGAGCACAGGGGGGTCTGTTTCACAGGGCACACCTCCTCCATTGTGTCACACAGTGATAGGACCAGGCAAGCAGTATCAGCCGCAGAGAGTTCCTACTTGTGGGTGAGGTGGGGTGGAGTCAGGGGTAGGAAGGTGTGGGTTAAGCCTAAGAAAGCTAGACTGTGACTGAAACAAGTGTTTTGCACTTACAGGATGCGAGAGGTGGACGTGGCCTGTGGGAAGGCCCTGCTGATTAAAGAGAGAGGAGAATACTGTGCAATAGGATATAAATGTCCCCACTACGGAGCTCCCCTGGTAAAAGGTCAGTGTGCAGTCACGTGGACAAAGTTACATACAAACATATGAATTCAGGCCATTCAACCCCTTGAGTCTGCTCTGCTGTTCCATGAGATAATGATTAATCTGTAGGTAAAAACAAACCCACATTCCCACCCACCCCCAATAACTTTTCACCCCGTGCTGAGCAAGATTTGATTTGATTTCTTATTACCACGTGTACCTAGGTACAGTGAAAAGTTTTGTTTTGTGCGCAGTGCAGGCAGATCATACCATACAAAGTACAATAGGGTAATAGAATAACAAGAATCTAACTACTTTGACCTTAATAAATATTCAGGACTCTGCTTTGGGAAAAGAGTTCCAAAGACTCATGACCCTTCTTGAGAAAGAATTTGCCCTCATCTCTGTTTTAAATGGATGACCCATGTTTTTTAAACAGTGATTTCTAGTTCTGGATCATCCCAGAAGAGGTAACATCCTCTCCATACCCACCCTGTCAGGATCACTCAGGACTTTACATCTTTCATACAAATCCAGCAGATACAAGCTTCACCTGTTCAACCTTTCCTCACAAAACAACCTTCCCATTCCAGCTATTTGTCTCATTAACCTTCTCTGTACGTGCCTCCAATACATTTGCAACCTTCCTTTAATAAGGTGACCAAGAAGGGCTCTCCTTCTCAATCTTTCCCCTCGCCTGAGGCTTGGTGACCCTCAGGTTAAACACAGCATCAGTTGTCTCTGTCTCTCTCTAATAAGCCTTATGGTCTAGTAGGACTATGATGACTTCACCGACTGGACTCCAGATGTGGTCTCCCCAGGGCCCTGTACATCTGAAGTGTAACCTCCCTACCTTTGTATTCAATTCCCCTTTTTGATAAATGATGATATTCTAAGAGATTTGCTAATTACTTGCCGCATCTGCAGACTAGCTTTTTACATTCATGTGCCAGGACACCCAATCTCTGATTTAGATAATATGCTTCTTTCTTATCCATCCTGCCAAAGTGGACAATTTCACATTTTCCCCATGTTTTACCCCATTTGCCCACTCAGTTTATCCCCATGTCCTCTTCACCACTCACTTTCCTACCTACCTTTCTGTCATCAGTGAATTTAGCTGTCATTTCCTTTTGTCCAAATCATTGAAATAAATTATAAACAGTTGAGGCTCCAGCACTAGTCCTTGTGTCATCCTGCCAGCCCGGAAAAGACCCATTTCTGCCTACTGTATACTTCCTTTTAGTTGGTCAATTACCTATCCATGCCAAAATACTGCCCCCGACATTCAATGGGGTATCTCGAAAAAAATCTGATCCAACAAGTTGTTAACTGGTGAACGTTCAAGTAGCAGAGGACAATAGTTAACAAACAAAGGACATGAGGGGCAACGCAGATCTCACATCCACAATTAGGGATATTGGATGGTCATTCACCTTGGGAGCCTGATCTTTGCAACAATGGCTAGTCCCTGTCCAGTCCTTTAACAAGGGAGGCAGCATGGTGCTGTACAGAAGATGGGACAGTGAAAATTGCTTCCCTCAATTTTCTCCTGATTAATCTGACGATGATTAAAGGCACCACGTTTCTCTCTAGGGATCGACAAAGTGGAAATGTTTGCCTATATGTGTACATCAGCCAAACAGGAGGATGCAGTGTATACTTCCCACAGGTTGCACTGCAGCAAATTGCCAAGGCTTGTAATGTGGCACAGTGACTTGTACCATCCAGACTGTCCTGGGCTCCAGATTGACGGGAGACACCACAAACAGCAAGTTCCTCACCAAGACACACACCATTTCCAATTCAGGCTCCTCCATTCTTCACTGTCACTGTGTAAATATTCTGCAAGTCCCTTCCTAAGAGTATTGTGGGTGACCTACACCATACGGGTCAAGATGGTGATTCACCACCACCTTATTAAGGGGAATTAGAGACGGGTGAGAGATGCTGGCTAAGACGAGAGTATGAATAATTTGACAGAATGAGGCACACGTATGTTGTACAGACTCAGACGAGAGTGAATAGTTCTCATTTGCCCAGTCTGCGCTGCACAGGGACATAAACTGACACAAGAACACCTACCAGCTAGACTGGAGAAGAGAGAGGTGATTTATTACTCTTATTTCCTAGTATATATTGCTTCCATATTTTTGATTATTATAATCTAGAAACTGAACAAAGCCTCTGTGTGTTAACTGTGCCAGCAATTTGACTCATTGTAAGTGGCTTGAATTTCTATCCTCAGGTGTTCTGACCAATGGGCGGGTTCGGTGCCCCTGGCATGGAGCCTGTTTTAATGTTGCGACGGGGGATATCGAAGACTTTCCTGGACTGGACGGTTTGCCCAAGTTTCAGGTAACTCTTGCCCGGTCTCCTGCTGCTACACAATCTCCATCCCCCACCCTTGGCACTGTCCATTGCTTCTCTGGGGTGGTCAGGCACTGACCAGGGCACACTCCAAGGGCAGCAACCACTTGCAACATCCTCCTTGCCCCATCCACAGACATTGGCATCAGACATGTACCACATCAGCATTGCACGCTACAGTTCTTGCACTTTGGAGCACATCAGCACCTTTCCCATTTTTTACTGGGCAGGTCAGTGCACACAGGGATGGGCATCCATTTCATGGTTGGACCAGGTTGCATCTCAGGGATCCTTGCTTGCTCTCTCACCACTCACTCACTCCAAACCGACTTGGATGCTCACAGCACTTCTGCCTTGCCTTGCCTTGGCCCTTCAGCTGAATCCTACAGCTTCACATTCCTCCTATCCTGACTTATCCTTTATCAGGCAGCTGGTCATGGTTGTCAGTGGTCATCAGTCAATGGCTGGCCAAGCTGTTGTATGGCAACGTGCCATATCAATCTCACACCTACACCACATGCCAGCAGCCCACGTGACAATCACACTGTGTGTTGCTCAATTGGATGGCGCTGGCTCAAAGTCTAAGTAAGATAGTCCTCACTCAAGTCAAGGCATCCAGCCTTCAGTCAGCCCTCCCTCCACGGTAAGTTGAGGGCAGCCTCTAGTATCAGTCCAGGGTCTTGGGCACAGTCAGGTTGAGGTGGTCAGGGTGCCCGTACCTCTACTGTCAGGGGAGTGAGCCACGGTCAGCTCTGTGGGTCCAGTGCAACCAGGGGTATGTCTGTGAGTTCTGAAGAAGGGTCACTGGACCCAAAATGTTAACTCTCCTGATTTCTCTCCACAGATGCTGCCAGACCTGCTGAGATTTTCCAGCAATTTCTATTTTTGGTTATGTCTGTGAGGGTGGGGACTTCAATTACGTGCGATGAGAGGCCCTTCAAAGGACAACAACATCAAACAGAACATACCCCACAACCCCACACAGTACGGGGAAAAGACACCTGGATGTGAACCTTGGGCATTAACTCACTGAGTGGAATCCAGATCCTGGCCCCAGGTTCTCTTTACTACATCACACAGCATCGGGATAATCCCATTAATCGCTTTGATGCACAGGCCACGTATTGCTGTTTGGAAAGATTCACACCAGTTGCCAAAATTACAAATACCCTTCCAAGGTTCAAACAATTCACCTTCACACCTTCAATAATAAAACCTAATTAGTATAGAGGATTGTGAGGCTCCGTCTCTTCAATCTTGTAGTTGCTGCTAGACACATATGCATTCTCGCAGGTGATGATGAAATGTGAACATATGTTTACAAATATGAAAACGTATTTCCAATGAAGTGTTACCCATTCCACTTCTATGCTTTCAGAAGATCATCTTCTTCCTTCCCCCCCAACTATGTCCCTGACCTTGACCCTGACTTAACGGTAAACCTAACCCTAACTCTAACCTTGACCTTTACCCTGACTCTGACCCTGACACAGAACCTAACCCAAACCCTAACCCTAACCCAAACCCAAACCTTAAACACAACCTTGACACTAACCCTAACCCTAACCCTTGCCCTAACCCTGATCCTAACACTAGTCCTGGCCTTGACACTGACCTTAACCCTAACCCTGAACTTAACCCTAACCCTGACCTTAACCCTAACCCTGAACTTAACCCTAAACCTGGCGCTAACCCTCGCCCTAACCCTAACCTGAGCCCTGACCCTAACACTGACCCTAACCCTAATACTAATCCTGACCCTGATCCTAACCCTAACCCTCGCCCTAACCCCATTCCTGACCCTAACCCTAACCCTAACACTAGCCCTGACCTTGACACTGACCTTAACCCTAAACCTGGCACTAACCCTTGGTCTAACCCTGATCCTGATCCTAATCCTAACTTGAGTCCTGATCCTGACCCTAACTGTAACCCTAACACTGGCCCTGACCCTAGCTCTGACCCTGACCCTGACCCTGACCCTAACGCTATCCCTAATCCTGACACTAACCCTGACCTTGACCCTGATCCTAACCCTAACACTAACCCTAGTCCTGACTCTGACACTCACACTCACACTGACCCTAACTCTAACCCTGACCCTGAACCTAACCCTATCCCTAATCCTGACACTAACCCTGACCTTGACCCTGATCCTAACCCTGACAATAACCCTAGTCCTGACTCTGACACTCACACTGACCCTGACCCAGACCCTAAACCTGACACTAATCCTGACCCTAGCCTTCACCCTAACCCTAGCCCTGACCCTAACCCTAATCCTGACCCTAGCCCTAGCACTGACCCTAACCCTGACCCTGACTATAATCTTAACCCTGACCATGACCCTAACCCTGACCCTGATCCTAACCTGATCTGACTCTAACCCTAACCCTAACCCTAACCCCAACTCTAGCCCTAGCCCTAACCCTAACCCTAACCCTAACCCTAGCATTGACTTAACCCTGACCACCTCTGCAACCCCCCACATTCTCACAAACAGAGGGTTAAAGTTCAGCGATGTTAACAGTACATTGACAGTGACAGTAAAGGGTCCGTAGCACAGCAGTAGACAATGATTCTTTCTTGGTTGTCGGGACATGGAGATTTAGGCATCACCACATGAGTAGTCCCAGTCCTCACTGGGCAGGGCCAGGCCACTATCCTCAGAGGGGGTGAAGAGCCACAACCCATCCTAACACTCCCCGCTGTACTGTGGGCTGTTTACTCCTGGAATTAGACAAACGGAGGGACTGAGTAAGATAGAAGTGGGTGTCACAGCTGTTAGGACACAGCAGGCCAGGCAGCATCAGAGGAACAGAAAAGTTGATGTTTCAGGTTGATGTTTAGACCTGTGGCTCTGACTCCAGCATCTGCAGTTCTTGCTATCTCAGTGACACAACTGTTAGTATTGGTGCAGGTGGGAGTGAGGTGGCAAGGTGCCCCAAGTGAGTGAGGAGGCAGCACAGAGGGCATGCGGTGTGTGGGAGATAGAGTGGGTAAGATTGAGCGAGGGAAGGTGTTGCACGTAATAGTGAAAATGTTGGAGCATGGTTCTTGGAGGGAGGTGAGTGCAGGAGCAGAGATAGAGTGAGTGCGAGGGCACAAAGGGAAGATTCAACTTTCACTGCTGACTGCCCTACAATGCTGGGCTGCATTGACACGCCTGACAGCTGGCAAGCCTGGTATCTTGGTCTTCTCCGCCAGTCCAAGGGGAAGAGATTGGGCCTCCTCTGCCAGTCCTAGGGGAAGAGAGTGAGTGTCCTCCGCCAGTCCTCAGGGAAGACAATGGGCCTCCTCTGCCAGTCCGAGGGGAAGAGAGTGATGTCCTCTGCCAGTCCTAGGGGAAGAGATTGGGCCTCCTCTGCCAGTCTGAGGGGAAGAGAGTGAGTGTCCTCTGCCAGTCCTAGGGGAAGACAATGGGCCTCCTCTGCCAGTCCTAGGGGAAGAGAGTGAGTGTCCTCTGCCAGTCCTTGGGGAAGACAATGGGCTTCCTCTGCCAGTCCTAGGGGAAGAGAGTGGGCCTCCTTTGCACCATCCTGTCCACCAGAACCTCCAGGATCTTATTCACAAAGCAGGATGCCAGTTTCCCTTTATGTGCCATGTCAGCCAGCTCTGGACTGGTAGCACTTGACCAGTTGCACAGTGGCCTTTCAGAGTTGGTGCTGGTGCCAGTAATTCCAGGGTATCTGGGCGGTGGTGTACACAGTGCAGGGGCTTAGTCGATGAGGTGAGTTTGGGACTGTACAGAATCCATCTTCACTGTTGGAGCTGTGTGTCCTGTCCCCCTTGTGAGAATGGGTCACTCGGGGCACTTTACAACCAGCCAGGGTTACAACCAGGGTAAGGGCTACATTACACAATTATAAACTCTTAGCTCCTACCATCCAACCACCACACAAAAAAAGGCAGCTGGTTGGCACTGCCTGGGAGGGTAATATAGAAACCCTACAGTGTGGAAACAGGCCATTCAGCCCAACAAATCCACACCACCCCTCCAAAGGGTATCCCACCCAGACCCATCCCTCTGCATTACCCATGCCCAACCCACCCAACTTAAACACCCCTGGCAATTTAGCATGGCCAATCCACCTAGCCTGCACATCTTTGGACTGTGGGAGGAAACCAAAGAACCCAGAGGAAACCTACACAGACACGGGGAGAATGTGCAAACTCCACACAGACATTTGTGCGAGGGTGGAATTGAACCTGGGTCCCCGGCACTATGAGGCAGCAGTGCTAACCACTGAGCCACCATGCCATCCAGTAGAGGCAGGAAACTTCACTTCCTTTAAAAAGTATCTGGATGAGCACATGAAATGTCACAGAATCAAGGCTGTGGGCCAAGTGCTGGAAAGTGGGATTAGTGTACATAGGTTGGCATATACCTGATGGACCAAAGGGCCTCTTCTGTGCCTTAACTTTATGGTTGCAAATGGTCTGTGCTGGTGTTAATCTCTGCACCAGCCTTCCCTGCACCCCTCCACCTTATTGGCATGTCCTTCTGTTCTTTTCTTCCTCATGTACTTACCCAATATCACTGTAAAACTGTCAAACATGACTGTGGTCTCACTGCATTGCTGGATCTGGAGTAATTCTGTGTCTTATTAGCTTGTTCAATCTGTGTTATATAAGTCAACACTTTAACACCTTTCGTTCATCTTCACAGGTCAGAATAGAAAAGGAGAAAGTGTTGGTCCGAGCAAGTAAACAGGTAACAGTGCCCTTGTGAAGTTTGTCTTTTAATTTGTTCTGGGAGTGAATTCAGCCTCAAATTGATGAAATGAAAGTCTCACCTCACTGCACTTTAACTGTGATATATCAACTGGGTTTGTGTGGGGTTACCTCATACTGAGTGCCCTCAGGTCCGCACAACAAAACCTATCCCAGTTCACTGCACAGGGTAAGATCTGACCATTTATTTATACAGCACAGCCTAAAGCCATTTGGCCCATTATGTCTGTACCAGCCATTTGAAAGAGGTATACCCTTGCCCCCACCCCTCACTCTTCCTCCACAACAATTTTTCTCTATTTTAAGAATTTGTCTGATCCTATTTAGTGAGTGCCATTGAACCTGCTTCTACCAGGCAACACACTCCAGGTCCTAACTCGCTTAGCAAAATAATCTCCTAAAATAAAAACAAAGTACTGAGGAAGCTGGAAAATTGAAATAGAATCTGATAGTGATAGAGAAGCTCAGCAGGAGTTAATGTTTTGAGTCCAATATGGCTTTTCTCTTTCACCTGCATCTAATCTGACCGGAGACTTGGGCACTGGGTCACTATATGTCATTGTCTTCTCTTTGAGAAGGGTGAAAATGCATCATTCAAAAAATAAAGCAGTGGTTTTTCCCTGCTCATTGTTGATTTTCTATTTGTGCAGAACCTGTTCCCACCGCTTTGCTGCAGCTGAGTTGAACCTCCATCCCTCCACCACTCAACTCCTCTACTCCTCAACTCCTCAACTCCTCAACTCTTTCAACTCTCAACTCCTCCATCCCTCCAGCCCTCTACCCTTCCACCCCTCAACCCCACAACTCCTCAACCTGTCAACTCCTCCACCCCTCAACCTCTCAATCTCTCCACCCCTCAACAACTCAAGTCACCCTCGTTTCAGTAGGATTGAGACCTCCCACCCTGTTGTTACAGCCAGACTCAGTGATCCCCACTAGTTGTGGCATTATGCCACAAACTCTGACCAAAAGCAAAATTCTACACAGCACATGTGGGAAATTTGAATTTCAAAAGGGAATCATATTGTGATAAAATGTCAACTGGAAAGGTTAACTCTCTTTATCTCTCCAAACCTGCTGAGCGATTGCAACATTTTCTGTTTTTCTGACGTGCTCTAAATGGACAGCACATTTATTCTGTTAAAAACAAGAAGACATGCGGATGCTGTAAATCAGGAACAAAAACACAAGTTGCTGGAAAACCTCAGCCGGTCTGGCAGCATCTGTGAAGAGAAAATCAGAGTTATTGTTTCGGGTCCAGTGACCCTTCCTCAGCAACTTCTGTTTTTGTCGTTGTTGACACTTATTCTATTAGTTGCTGCTCTATTCTGAATACTGATTTGAGAGGCTGTGGTCTCAATTGAAATTTAGAACCATCTGAAATCTTGATTTTGAATGTTATTTCTTTCCCCTTCACTGAGGACAATAAAGGTTCAACATGCAGTCCAAATTGCACTGATGCCAGATGTGTTATTCATTTTTTACTTGTGTTAGAGTTTTATTTGTGACTACTGAGCGTGGAGGGAAGAAGGAGAATTGCTCAGAACACTAACAGCTAACTGCTTCCGGTGGGATTGTTCGCTTATACAAGACACTTGTGCCTCAGTTGGAATACTGTGTACAGTTCTGGGTGCCACACTGTAGGAAGGATGTGAATGTATTGGAGAGTGTGCAGAAGGGATTTATGGGAATGTTGCAGGGATAAGAAACCTCGGTGATGACAGTAGATTGGAGAGTTCAGAATTGTCCTCCTTGGAGAGAAAAATGCTAAGAGGTGATTTGATAGAAGTTTTCAAAATCATAAGGGCACTGGTCAGAGTCTACAGGGAGAAACTGTTCCCATTTGTGAGAGGATTACAAGAAGGTACAGGTTTAAAGAGATTTGCAAAAGAAGCAAAGGTGATGTGAGAGAAAGCATTCTCATAGAATGACTACTTAGGGCCTGGAATGCACTGCCTGGAAGTATGATATTGCGACATTATTGGATGATTATTTGAATAGAAACATTGTGCAGGGTTATGGGGGCAAGGCAGGAGAATGACACTCTCATTTGGAGAGCTGGTGCAGATACAATGGGCTGAATGGCCTCCTGTTGCACCATGACACTTCTGTGGGTATTGGATTCATACGGCACTGTCTCACCACATTGTCAGTCAGCTCTGATGGGACAAAGCCCTGTGGAGTCCTCCCTACCAGAATTGTTGCCATTGTGATTTTGCCATCTGTCTTTTCGCTCCCAGGCTCTTCAGTTGCAAAAGAGGGTGAAACGGATGTCAAGGTGTGCTACTCTGAGGGACAGCAGCTTCAGCAACACCAGTGTACTCATCATCGGCTCAGGTAACTGTGTGTGTGTCTGTGTGTGTGTCTGTGTGTGTGTGTGTGTGTGTGTGTGTGTGTGTGTGTGTCTGTGTGTGTGTGTGTGTGTGTGTGTGGTGTATCTGTGTCTGCCCATGTATGTTGTGGGGAGGGACAGCCACATAATGGGGATAAAGAAAGGATACAGAAATAAACATTTGCATTTATATGGCACCCTTCATGACCTAAGAATGTTCCAAAGAGTCCCAAGGCCAATTGAGTACTTTTTGAAGAGCTGTAACTGTATGACATTTGCCAATAAGGAACACAGCAAGGTGCCATAAAAGGCAATGTAACAATGACCAGATATAATCAGGATTTTAGATGTTAAAGAGAACATAGAACGTAGGGGAAAACATATAAATTAAGCAAAGGTGAGTGACAGGTCAAAGACTGGTCAAATGTAAAGAAGAGAATGACTAAAAGGTTGTTAATAAGGAGGAAGAAATTATAGAATGAGAGAAAGTTAGCCAGAAATATAAAAACAGGTAGCAAGACTTTTTTATAGGTATCTAAAAGTGAAAATAGTAGGTAAGGTGATTGTTGATCCTCTAGAGGATAAGAATGGGGAGGTAATGGGAGATAGTAATAAAAAGGCAGATGCAGTTAATAAATGTTTTGTTTCTGTCTTTGCTGTGGAAGATACAAACCATCCTAGTGATAACTGTAACTCAGCAGCCTGAAAGAAGAGAGGAATCTGATGAAATTATCGTCTTTGGGGAAACAGTATTGAGTAAAAGGATAGAGCTGAGGCTTGAAAAGTCTTCAGGTCCACATGGACTTCATCCTAAGGTCTTAACAAAGACCTTTATGAGGTAGTAGATGAATTGGTGTCAATTTCCCAAAATTCATTAGTTTCTGAAACAGTTCCATCAGATTGCAAAGTAGTAAACATAACTCATGGTGACAGGTTCCTTCAGGAGTCTGTGCTGGGGTATCAAATTTTTAAAATTTATATCAATGATGTACAAGAGGGTATCAAAGCCAGGGTGGCTAAATTTGCAGAAAGATTAGATGGAAAATAGGTGACATAACAAGGATGCAGACCAATATAGTTGAGTGAATGGGCAAAAGTCTGGTAGAAGGAACACAAGGAGGGAAAATGTTCATGTTGACGGGAAGAATTAAAAAGCAGAGTACTTTTAAAAGGAGAATATCTGCAGAATTCCAAGGTGCAGATGGATCAAGGTGTTCTAGTGGATGAGTCACGAGGAGTTAGTATTCTGATGCAGCAAGTGGTCAAGAAATCCAATGGGATGCTATCCCAGGTAAAGAGAGGGATTGAACATAAAGGTACGGAAGTTATGCTTCAATTATACCGAGCAATGGTGAGACCACATCTTTGATACCATGTGCAGTTTTGCTGGCCTTATTAAAGGAGGATATAAATGCATTTGGAGGTGGTTCGGAGGAGGTTTGTTAGATTGATACCTGGAAGGAGTAGGTTGTCTCATGAGGAAAGATTAGACAGACTGGGCTTGTTTTGAAGTTTAGAAGAGTGAAGAGTGATTTGATTGAAGTTTACAAAATCCTGACAAAGTGGACGTGGAAAAGATGCTTCCCTTTCTGGTTGAATCACAATATTTTACAATCAGGGTCACAATTTAGGACAGAAATGAGGAACTTTTTTTCTTTGAGGGGGTTTGAATTTTTGGAAGTCTCTGTCTCAGAAGGTGGTGGAAGCAAGGTGATTTTATGGCATTAAAGCAGGCATAGACAGATTCTTATTGGAGAGAGGAACCAAGAGTTCTTGGGGTAGATGGGAATGAGGAATTCTGAATGACAATAAATCAGCCATGACCTTAGGGAATGGCTCAAAAGGGTTAGGAGCCGTTTGGCCTATTCCTACTCCTATTTCATCTGGTCATATTAGTTTATAGAATCATAGAATCCCTGCAGTGTGGAAACAGGCCATTCAGCCCATCAATTCCACACCAACCCTCCAAAGAGCATCCCACCCAGACCATCCCCCTACCCAATCCCTGTAACACTTCATTTCCCATGGCTAATGCACTTGACCTGCACATCCCTGGACACTATTGGCAATTTAGCATAACCAAACCGCCCTAACCTGCACATCTTTAGACATATGTTGGTCAACAAATTAATATTGATACGTTTTTCTACAAAATAGTGCCACTGAATCTTCTGCATCCACCTGAGAGATACACAGGACCTCAGTTTAATGTCTCATCTGAAAGACTGTGCTCTCAACTGTCGAGCAGTTGTACCCTGTAGTATCAGTCAAGAATTTGTGTATTAATCTCTAGAGAGGGACCAGAGCTTCAAGGAGAGAATGCTACCATTGGATTCATAACTGGCACTAGGATCAAAGACAAGCCATAGTGCGGTACTGATTCAGACCAATGTGCCAAAGTGTCTCTGTCCAAGAATATTAAAACACGGGGAGTATCTATCTTGATCAAGGAGATAGATTTGGGAGTGTTTCCTGAATCAAGGCACAGGCCCCATGAGACAAGGAATGACAAGAGAAACAATCAGTTAAATGTAATCCAAGCAGTGATGGGGTCACATTCAGATTAGTTGACTTATGAAATATACTGCACACAGTGCAGTGAATGTAGATTCTATGTAATCAGACTAAGAGATAAGATAAAATAGTGTAAATCTAGCAGAATTATGACAAACACCAAAGAAAGAGTAAAATAGGCATGAGATGCAAAGTGGAATTGTAAAAATAAACTTACTGAGATTAATACAAACCTACAATTAGGAAAAAAGCAAAGTCGGTGTTTAATGGAATCCTTAAAAAGAGCTCAGGGTAATATTGCAAATTAAAATAAGCAATGACAGACTTCTTGAATAATTACCTCAGTTTTCATAGTTGATGAAGAGGACAATATCCCTGAGCTTCCAGGGAAATGAATAATGTATCAAGAGCCAGATTTCATGAAAATTAGTGCTGCTAACTGCTGCCTGTTTCTGAATCCAGACCAAGCCCCATTCACCCTGTGCTCACTGACCTACACTGGGTCTCAGCAGACCACCACCTTGGTTTTACAATTCTCAAATCCTTTTCAGCCTTGCCGCTCCATACAACTGTAGCCCTCTCACATCCTCAAACCCCAAAGTATGACCTCATTCACTTCCGTTGCCCTTCAGTGACAGTGCCTAAACCCTGATGGTTTCCTGCTTAAACCTCACCACACTCTGTCTATCTCCTTCTTTAAAACGTTTCTTAAAATCCATCTCTTTTGACCAACATTTGACTTTCTGTCCCAACACCTCCTTTATTGGCTTAGTGCCAATTCCCGTCTGTGTTTCTGTGAAATGCTATGGTATACTTTATGAAGTGAAATGTGCTCTATAAAGACAAGCAGTTTTTCAATTCCTTCACAGGATGTGACTGTCACTGGTTAGGCATTTATTACCCATCCCCAATTGCCCAGAGGCAGTCAAGTGTCAACCATATACACCTTATATCAATATCCCATATCACACTTAGGTCAGACCAGATAAGGCCAGCAGATTTCCCTCCCTCATGGGAGGAGAGACTAAAGGATATTAGTGAACTAGGATTTTTTGGGGAGGGTAATATTGATTACACTAGGCCAGCTCTTTATTCTAGGTTTTATTGAATTGAAATTTTGTGGTCTACCATGGTGGGATTTGAACCCATGTCCCCAGGTTTGGGGTTCTGGATTGCTAGTCCAGTAACATTACGATTACACTGTCCCTTCCCCTTGGTGGCTACTGGTTGTATCTCATTCATGGCAGTGAGTGGAGCTAATTATTTGTTCTATTCAATCTCCCCCAAGGCCCTGCAGGACTGGTCTGTGCAGAAACTCTGAGACAGGAAGGCTTCACAGAACGCATTGTCATGTGCACTATGGAGACACACCTGCCTTACGACAGACCTAAACTAAGTAAGGTTTGTATCTGTATCTAAAACCCACCCCTGCCCAATGTGATGGCATGTGCGAACAGACACAGCCAACTCTTGTTTGGGAATACTGGACTGTGCTGGACAACTGGTATTTCCAGACAGGAGCCTGTGATAGTCAAAGAGTTGAATGTATTGACCCAGGAGGCTGTGCAGTGTGGATTGACAAGAATAAGCTTGGGATTAAAACGGGTTGTTAGGTGAGTGGGTTGCATAAACTTGTCTGGCATGTTCTTGAAGGTTGAGGCTGGTCTAATTGAAGTTCTAAATGCATTTGATAGGATACAATTTTGTCTGGCGTCAGAGCGCAGAAAAGAAGGACATTATCTTAAAATTAGAGCTGGACCTTTTAGTGGTGGAATCAGTAGGCCCTTTTGTGAATCACTATTTTTATTGGAAATCTGGAATTCTCTTCCATCAAAAAGGCCACTGCATTCTGAGATATTTGGAACTTTCAAGACTGAGTTGAATAGATTTGTACTAAATAAGCATTCTGTGGGATACAGAGCTACGGTGAGGCAGTTCTGACTCATTGAATAGCAGAGTAGACCAGAGGAGCGGAATGGCCCAATTTCATTCCCACATTCCAAGCAGTGTGCTGACAGTCATCCACAGAAGATGACAGGGGTTGGCCCAGTGCTAATTTGTGGTAGTTTATAAAGATTGAATTGTTAGGATTCTTCCTCCATTTTGTCATCTTTATTCCTATTTATGAACAGTGCTTCCTCTTATTCTTAATTCCTCCTGTCCTGAAGTGAAAGAGTTTTGTTGAGTAGAATCTCACAGCCTTGAATCATTTATATTGTCAAGGAGCCTCTCTTCATGCATTTTCCCTCTCAGAGAATACCAGCAGGATGCGAACATAAGAAGGAACAGCAGGAGGAGGCTATTTGGCCCATTGACCCTTCTTTCCCATTCAATAAGATCATGGCTGATCTGACCGTGGCCACATTTCCACTTTTGCGGCATGTTCCTCATAATCTGAGACTCCCTTGTGGATCAATGATCTGCCTAACACCGATCTCGATGGCACAGCTTCCAAAACTATTTGGGGTAGGGACCTCCAAAGATTCCTGGCCCTCCAAGAAGTGAAATTCCTCCTCATATCCATCTTGAATGGGAGACCCATTGTTCTGAAATTATATCCTCTGAGCATCTCCCTGCCTGCCGTCCTTGTCTACTGCACCACAGTAATTCTCAGCTGGTGGTCGTGTTATGGGAGTCATTTTAAACATGGGTGATGGGGTAAAGCAACCATTTGCTACATGCTATATGCTATATCTGAGTTTCAACTGAAATCAACGTAAAGGAAAATGACACCGCAGAAATTTGACAGACCTTTCAACATCGTCTGCATTGCACCATTATCTGTAGTCAACTGCCATGGAATTTCTAAGGGGCAGCAGGAGCGTTGTTGGAATTGAGCCCCATGTTGATCCTAGGTTGCTGAGGCCTTTATAATGGAAGCAGAGGTGAACTTATAGCTGAGGCTCAAGAAAGGAGAAGCAAGTGAATCAGAACAGGAACTATCTGTGGAACTGAATCTGATTGGTTTCAGGTTCCAAACTAAAGCATGTTGGAGATTTAGAGGCTGAGTTGATATTGATTCTGATGGGTGACTGTTTACCCAGGGGTTGTATTTTTGATTTTTGGGGTGTGCCTGATATTTGGCTTCAAGGGAAGAGAGGAGATTTACTCGAGGTATTGTGACAGGGAGACCAAGTTCCTCACTCTGCTATTCCACCAGGATCAAAAGTGCGAACCAACTGTTAGGCTGTCAGGCTGACCACTCCACCCGAGCAGTAAGCCCAAAGCTGCTAGTAGTTTCAAAAAATTAATCTTGAGATATGGGTGTCACTGAGAAATCCAAAATTTATTTTCCATTCCTTTGTGGCCCTTCAGAAGGTGCTGGGTATGGACTTCTTATTGAAATGCTGCAGTCCACGTGCCAAGGTACACATACAGTGCTGCTAGGTCACAGAATCACAGCTGTTACAGAGCAGAAAGAGGCCATTTGGCCCATCATGTCTGCACTAATGGTACAAATGAGCAATTCACACATGCAATGCGCCTGCCACCTCACATTGCTCAGCACATTCTTTTTTATAGGAGAACAGTGTAGTTCTTTCGATTGAACCTGCCTCCACCATAGTCTCAGGTTGTTCACCTTAGACCTCAACCACTGCTGTGTGATAAACATTTTTCCTCATGTCAGTTACTTTAAATCTGTGCATTTTTTGTGCTCAATACTTTTACAAGTGCAGACAGAGTTTCCCTGTTGAGTCTGTAGGGAGTTCCAGGATTCTAAAGCAGCGACGATGAAAGGACACTGATATGTGTCTACGTTAGGATATTATATGACTTTGAAGGGAAATTCCAGCTAATGCGTTGCCATACACCTGCTGCTGATCCTTCTAGATGGTGAAGATGATGAGTTTGAGCAGTATTATCAAGTTCAACGTGAGTGCATGGTCTCACTTTGTACATAAATCTCTTCCATGGCTCTTTATAAGTATTGTTTTAACAAAGAAAAACATCAGAATTGTACTTTACACAATTCTTTGTCTTGTGGAAAGCTGGGCTGTCATGTTTGTAAGAAGAATAGTGAACTTTGCACCATTGGGATCGGATGCCTGTTTCTGTCACAGTGTTCATAGCTATCTCTTGTGTTTTCAGTCCCTCGAGTGCCAGGCTGAGCAGATAACTCTGCGTTCCAAAGAATTCTTATCCCAGTACGACATTGAGGTACAAACAGAGAAGGAGGTAAGCAAGCAACAGAGCTGTTTCGTTTCTTTCTGATAATGTAGTCCGTCCTTAGCATGACACTCAGAACATCCTCCACCCTCATTACAGTTCTCAGGAAGACCCTCCACCCTCATTACAAGTCTC